ACTGGACAGCTTCCTCAAGCTGGCGTTATCACTCCCTCTAACCACTCTTGGCAGGCAATCTAATTCCCCCTGAAAAGGTCACCGCCATTTTAACTGCCTTTCAATCACATTAAGCACGCTGCCGCTCGTGCTCAGAGCACTGTGCCTGCAGCTCTCCTGACTGAGGTGCGATCGATAAACTGACATCCCGTCCCCCCACCCCATCTCCCCAACCACCCTGTCCACCGCTCGCCTCCTTCCCCTCTCCTGGACAAGCCTGGAACGGACGGCGAAGGACCAAGTGGCAAAAGCCTCTCCTCAAATGCAAAGTAGCAGAAGGGAGCTGCTACCCTGGCATTTACTAATCTTTGTCCCATCTGCTGAGAAACAGAAGGGTGCAAGCATCTCCCCTGCCTTCCCTAGACCTACAGAGGCAGCGACTTCACAGGACAGCTTGCTCAGGCACTAGTCCAGACACCTTTGAAGCTGTGTTACAAAGAGCAAGCCTCCCTCAAGCTTCCCTCAATGCAATCGTTACCGTTATCTCTCCCCCCCCACGTGCTGCTTTTTTTTTTTTTCCAGTTACGAGTTACGTGTTCCACCCATCGATCCCTGTGTAAGACACTGTTTTAAGTCCTCTTGCCTTTTGACTGTGCTAAGCCGTTTAAGAGATGACAGCAGCTTCTATCAGTGCGAAACTGATGTGATTCTTTTCAGATAAAGCACTTTTTTTTTTTCACTCGCCCCCTCCCTTTTCCTTCTTTCAAGTAAGAGACATACACACAAAAAGAGACACTGAATCTTTCAAAGAAAAAAACCCTTTTGAACTTCCCTCAGGAATTCTTTAAAGGGATAACCTTACAGTGTAAACACTGAGGGTAACGTGCATCCATTCTGGAGAGGAACAGAAGAATTGCTACAAATATGTTGAGTGTTAAAAAAAAAAAACCCACAGCAGAGAGCAAGCCACTTGATGCTTTCACTTGTGAAGCCTTGTTGCCTTCCTAAACAGAGAAACTCGTTGACATCTTTGGATGGCATGAAATAATCCCCTGCAACAAAGAGCTTCGGAGAGGGATGATCCAGAGACGTAGGGTCAGACAGTTACTGAACGTTCAGGTATTTCGAGAGAGATTTTAGTCTTGTGACACTGTTCTAAGATAGGGAAATACTTGATTATTACATCTGTATAGCTTTCCACCTTGAGGCATGAACTCGATTTAAACAGCGCTTGATATTTCATGCTGGTAGCCTTCTGCACCCATCCGAAACAGAAGCAAGAACTCCTACTACAAACTCCTACTTCAGGCGGGACTTCTGCTGAAGCAAAGCGTTTCCAAATACTATATAATTGCCAAAATCTTCACTTACTTCCTGCACTCTTCCAGTTTTGGGTAAACAAATTAAGTGATAGCAAATGATGCTTTAAGAAGCCAGGAGGACCGCTAGAAGTACCAAATTCCTGACTGAATGCCTTCACCAAACCCGACAGCGTACTGAACCCAGCACTTCCCAGTTATGTCATATTGCTACTTGTTGCCATCTCCTGCTCTTTCCACTTGCTGCCTCAAGTATGCTAAGCTGTGGTGGACAAGGTGTGCTTTGGCTCTACTGCACTAGATCTGACCAGGGATTTGCAGCTGTAACATCAACACAGAAGACACAAGAATTTCCACCTTCTAAGACAGACTCTCAGGTAAGAGGAGCAAGCCTTCCCAGCAAGCACTTTGGAAGCAGGAAAGCATCATCCTAGGAACCACACAAGTGAGAGTTTCAGCCTGGGATTGCTCCTAAGTATTAGACAACCTTCCAGAAAATCTGAGCAGGGCTGTTAATTTCCCTGACCTCTCTGTTTTCGAGAAGAAAAACCCCATTATCTCCCAACCTTACCCCACCTGAGAACCTGGCAGGATCTCTCAGATAATTAGCAAAGAGCTTTCCTCACCTTAAGAGTGATATGAACTTTGTCCATTAACCAAAAATGATAAAAAGAAGAAGCCAGGACTCGTGTTAAGTTTGAGTCACTTCTGTAAGGCTGCCTGATGGTGTGACCGACTCACGCACCACACAATGGCCACAGCGTCCTGCTCCTGCCTCCGCCCAGCTGTGACATCTCCTCAAAGCAACACACCATTAAAACTGAAATTAACGAGACACACGGACATTTATTTTCCCCTCCGGTTTTATGTATTTCCCCATGTCATCTCTTTAGACACTGGCGACATCCCTGTAGCCTGGCAAAGGCTGTCTGGCATTATGAAAGGCCTTCCATTTCCACATCGCTGCTACTTCTCAGCAAAGGGAACAGAGCCAAATACAAAGCCTCGGGTGACGGGGGTTAACGAGGGCCTTGCCAACTCCAGACAAAGCAGTTTCAAGCACCGGAAAGCATCTCCAAAACGTTGTGCTGTGCTTCAGGGCTCTAAATAAAGAATTCTGTCCCTAAAACAGGGCAAGAGCCAACACTGGCAGAGAAAGGAAAAAGACAGGCACCTTAAGGTTACCTGAGAGTGCACAAAGCAGGCCTGGCTGACGGAGACCTCTGAACACCAGCAGCCAGAGACATCATGAGAACCACAAAAAGGAGCATGAAATTAAAAAGAAATACAATCAGCCAACTATGGGACATCATTCCAGCTTTGCTTTGGCTTCCCAAATTTTACAGAAACTTCTTGCACAGAGTATGTAGGCATCCTGCAGATATATTATCTGGTCATCCCAAAACACTAGGCAGAAAGCTGGTAGCAAAAAGTTCCCCTGTTTAGGGAAGGACACCCCTCTAGAGGAGCATGGCAGCTGTTGAATCCAGCTGCCAGCAGAGACGTGCTCCAGAGGAGGAAGGGCAGCGAGAAGCTCATGTGCTAGGGACTCGCCAGCTGCTCCAGTGGAGTTATTTCTTCAGCAGTGGCTCTGCCACCAAGAGCCGCACAGAAAGGATGCTCCTCATCACAAATGCTACAGGGAGGTTCCTGTCCTTGCGAGCTGATCTACGAACACCTTTCATCCAGCACTACAGAGGGAAGGAGTCTAATCCAAAAGCCTTCCCATCAGGGTAATTATGGAGAGTTTTAGAACCTCATCTAGTTGTGCTCTACTCTTCTCCTCCTCTTTGGATCCTTTGCTGGATCTGTTCATGTAATCAAACAGTTTTGAAGGTGTCATGGAGGTCTTAAAAAGGAAAGAAGAGATGGAACTTACTACTTCCTGATGGAAAAAAGGTTATTTCTAAGTATGAATATATAAATACAGAAGTACCTGTCCATGTATGTGCAGCCATCTAGCAGGGGGTGCAACCCTGACTGTTGCTAGAATCTGTCTAACCTCTGGTGGAGGAAAGCAGCTGATATATATATAACAAACTAACATGTGAGAATTCCTTAAAATAAGGAATAAAATGCAACAATGAGCAAGTACTTTGCATTTACACAGCCTAATCACATCAATTACAAACATTCTGTTCACCTGAACCCTCATTAGAAAGAGAGTCTCCACATGACTAAAGCAGTATGAAAGGTTCAGACCTCACTTCAGTGAGTTAACTCAAAAACACCTGAGAGTATTAACCAGGTAAAGACAGCACAATGTCCATACCAAAGGAAGCAGAAGATTGCGCTCTCCTCAAATGCAGGTGTTCAGTGGGAGTGAAGGAAGAAACTACGCAAGCACAAAAAAACAGCAGAAATAAACTGAGTAGCTTTTTCTAATCAGGACTAGCAGTGACAATGATAGAGGCACACAGACATCCCACAGTTCCCCGCTACGGATTGTAGTAACTATACTACATAAACACAGCCTCAAGTCCTGCATGGTCTCATCAGACCTGTGCCTGGAATCATGCACAGACTCAACTCACCATGTGGGCACAAAAAATGTTGAGGCAGGTAAGGCTACAGACACAGGAAGCGACAGGGTGAGCCTCACTGGGTACCCTTTAAAACCCAAAGACACTGCTCCTTCACCTCTGTGCTCCTGATCATCTGCTCTGCTACAACCCAGCTACAATTTCATTTCAGAGCTAGGTAGGAGCAGATCAGGAGTGCCGGGCTGTCAACGAGCACACGGCTGGCTGTTAAGTCCAACTTGCTTACATAGTAACCTTTCCCCCTGAGATATTTTAAATTAAAATCCAAGCTGATATAAGAAGAGATCACATCCCATCCTCTTTATTGAGCGGAGGGAGCCAGCATTCCTCCTCTCATTAGGCATGCTCTACGTGGATTGCTTGCAAGAGACTCTCCTTAGCGCCAGAGGTTCATGCCAACGAACAGTTTAGTAAATCCTCCTCTTCGAGGCCAAAGGGCTGAGTGTAAGAAAGGGGCCAGGTTTCTAGCTAAAATTACATTCGCCAATAAAGCTCAGGAGAGGTCAAATTTTGCCATAACTCACTCTCTCCTCAGTAACTGATTTCCCCGTCACAGGGGAAGGAGCAAAAGAAGGAGGAAAAATAAAATGTGTTTGTCTGGGAGCCCTAAGGGCTTGCAGTGCTGGAGGTGCAGAGCAGGTTCCTGGATTCTCATTTATCAACCTTAAAAGGGATGGAGTGATAAATGCACAACCGGCCCTTTAATATTTTATGCAGGTGCTAAAGCGACTTAGCTGTCACCTTCAATGCATCACCGGAGGCTGATACACCAGCTTTCGTCACTCCAGGCTGGGAATTTTTACAATTTCATTTCTATTTCCCTCTCTTCGCATATTTCCATGTATTTCTTACTATGTGTAACATATAAAAAGCTATTTTCCCCAAATGATCTCCTCACTCTGCCCATTCCTACTCATTCCCTCTTTAGCCGCATTTCCCAAGCAAGAAATAACACCGTGCTTTTGTTCCAGATTTGCACGAATTTTGACTCTCATCATTCAAGAGAGACAGACAGCTGAAATCACTTTACATTCAGGCAAAAGCTGAAGATCCTGCCCTTTGTGAAAGGCAGATCTCCAGGTCCCTCCCTTTAAAGGTAAGACAATGATCAACTCCTACAGCAGAATGATTTACAAGGGCCCCCAAAACACTGGCGCACCTCGAAATCCTCCCTCCAGGAGAGTAGTCGCCCGTATCCTCTTCTGCCCGCACCATTCGTACTCCTCAAAGCGGTTGCCGTTCTCGTTCTCGATGTCCACAGAGTCATCCTCAGTCATGCATGAACCTTCTCTCTGCACAAGGTAAAGCAGGGGCAGAGCGTTGAGATGCATGAAACAGCTCTTTGGGATCAATAACTCAGGGTGGGATGGAGAAGGAAAAGCTGGACCGTTATCAGGACAGCTAAGTATAGAGCGGACAGCAGCATCTACTCCCGCCCCCATTCCCAGTGATCTAAATCTAGAAGTAAATGGATGCTGGAAGAACTTTACAATCTTAAGACCAAAATGAGTGGCAAGGTTCATCATTTTTACACATGGAAATTTAAGCTCTGGTTCCTGCAATGCTGGTGTGCAGGAGGGCTTGTTCCTCCTTTTTCCTTCCTGTCTTTGGGATGAACAGCAAGAGAATGCTTCTGTTCAAATGCACCTCCTGGGGTAAGATGGTCATGTGACATTTACAAATGCCAATCTGTTACAAAAGAACTCAACAAAAAGTAATTCTAATGTTGTCAAAGGCAGAGATCAGAAATAACTCTTTTTGCTGCATTACTTAAGAAGCATGAAGTCCTACAAAAGGCTTCATAAACTTCAATAGCTCTACCTTTACAGTCTACAACTTCGACTTAGGTAACTGCAAAAGGGTGCATGAAGTAAAAAAGTTACTAATGCAACACAAAAGAAAAATCCAGAAGAATCCACCTTCCAAGACAGCAAGAAGTGACTACAGATCCTAGGGAGACATAGTTAGCATTGCCTGCAAGCTCAGCAATGTTAGTTTTTGCCCCATGTTAGGTCAACTGCAGACAAAGCTGGGAGTAGGGAGAAGGGAATGGCAGCTGGTGATCCTGCTGCGCCTCTACCTTTGCAAGGCATTGTTCCACATGCCTACTCATCTCCTCCTCGGATCCTGACAGAGGTCGGCTGCAGAGGGGACATACCTGCCCTTCGTCTTGCTTCCTCCGTTTCATTTTTCCAATCCGAGCTGCATGGAGAAACCAGGGAAAGAAAACACACACAAAAAAAAAAAAATAAAATAGGAAGACATGTCAAGTTTGTAGATCCACTCTTCCCTCTGTTTGCTCAGCTCCAAATAATAAACCCTTGGCAGACATGGTAAGATTTCACACCAGAAAATCCCATTGCAACTCCCCATTCTGATCCCCCATAAGCAGTAAAGAGACTGTTACTTAGCACTTTCCAGATTAAACCTGTAACCTGTGGCTGAGTACAGCCTGACTGTAGAAAGGCAGCTACTCATGATTTAATAAGTAGGAGAGGGAATATCTGCTGCACATCCCCATGTAAGTTATTAAAATGGTTAAATACTTTCTCTTGGAAGTCTGAAATTGTTTTCAAACAAAAGTGAAGCGATCAAGCCACTGAATCCTGTTCTGGATTTTGCCTTCTAAGCCCGAGACTCATCCACTAACACATCTATCCCCTACACAGGATCTTGCTTAGACAGTAGAAGGAAGATGTAGCACCCAAGATGCCTTGTACAAAGTATATAACAGTCACTTCCAGGAACCTCCTTTACACTCTGAATAATTCCTTCCCACAACATCACAAACAAATCTTAGCAGCAGGTAACACCTATGGAGAGGACAGATCTTTGCTGTGAAAAACACGGCATCTACGCGAGATAGCTTCTGGCTCTCTCGTTTTTATTTCACTGTTTTCATGTAGAGGAAAACTGGAGGCTACATTGCTTTCTTGAGGGTATGCTCTGGGAAACAAACATGTTAGGAACCATGAAGATTAGAAAAAAGCAGCCAAGGTAGCCTGTTGCTTAATCCAATCTCTGGTTAATCTGAGCCATGGTTTAATGTGATCAAAACATCTGGAACCAAATCCTTTGCATTAAAAAGAACTTCCTTTATTATGATGGCTTTAGGCAGGTATTACTGAATAACTCAATCATGGCTGCAGGAAAGTCACTGTTTAATTAATAAGGAAGGTCAAAATTCTGAATGAGAGACAAGGGAAAACCCAAGGAAAGCCCATGTGATAATGAGAGATGACACCACCAAAAAGCTGTGTTAGCCAGAAATCGTTACTGACATTGTGAGCACTGCAGCACGTTCTGAAAGCCTTCATGCCTGAATATTGTCGGATCAACAGCTCCCTGCAGCCGAGTCAGAGAAAGCTGATGGAATGCCAGGAAGAGAAGGACCGAGGTACAGGAAAGTTTCTGTCAATCGCTTTCTAAAGCGCATCAGTTTAAAACTCACTTGGTGATGTGGAGGCACTAAAGTTGGATCTGAACACACCAACGCAGACCTGAAAGGCCTCTTTCAGGGCTTTCTTGTTGGCTTCCCTGGACTCAAGACTCTCTGGGTTAGGATAGGATATACTTTCCCACAATCCAGAATTAGGAATATTCAGCATCCTCTACACTCTGTGATGCTCAAGGATTAAGGCAGCTTCGAATTATTCCCTGGGCATTGCTTTTCCTCACCAAACAAGACAGATTGGTAGGAAAATTCCCTCCAAAACAAAGCTTCCCTCCTGGCATCATGAAAAGGCTTCTGCAAATGTGACATTCCTAGAATAACAGACAGCAACTTGAGACCATGATGAGAGTGTTTTTGAGACCTGGCACTTCGAACAACAGAGACTGTCAAGTAAACACACGCCACTTTCATCAGTCATCTAAATTTCATCTGCTGAAGCTCCACAACCCTCTTTTGTGTTGGGTACATGACACTGACAACTCCGCAGCTCACCTGCCTCTCCACATGCTTCAGGTACTTCAGTATTCCTAGTGGGATATTTTAATAGTTTCCCTTCTATTCTGTCTGCTTAAATCTTTTATTTTATCTATATTGTCAGCTTCTACTTCAGGAGGGAAACTGCTTGACTTGCAGTCAATACAGAAGCACACATCATGAAGTGTTACTGCTAATTTCATTGTGCCCAGATGAATTACGTTCCACTTTTAAATAAAACAATGACTCTCAGCACATCTTCCGTGTTCTCTCCCCTTCCTGAACCCCAAAATGCTATCCCTCCTCCCTCTTCGACATCATCCAGCCCTATTACCAGAAGCAGTCAGAGTTAAGCCATGCTCTATCTGGTTTGTACTTCAGTGCACAAGAGACTTCTGAAGTTCTGGTTTAGTGAATTCCTATATCCTCCAGTATGGCTCTTCCGCACAAGTTTAGGATGCTCCTTCCTTGCCTCGCTAGCTATGCGGAGCCAGCACAAAACAGGGGAGGGGGCTGGAATCAGACACAACTTCAGCATTCTCCAGCAAACACCTATCTGACCGGAGAAAAACACAGGAACGAAATCGTCTCTATCCTGATCGCAGACACATCTTCCTCTCACCTCATCCTATTTTTAAACACAGAAATGTAGGGAAGGAGCAGTTTAATTATTCTGGTAGGACTCCCTGTGGCCAATCAACTCGGCCAAGCCAATCTGCCTGGCAAGTTTATTAGTATTTTTAACTTTTTCACCGTCATCCTCCAGTCCATGCACTGTACCAATGATAAAAGGAAGACAACTTTTTCAGGTCTTTCACTGATGAATTCTTGGGACCATTCTGCCAAACCAAGCACCTGATCTGCTGTTGAGGTGTTAGCGCAGGGCTGTGAACAGAACCTCACCCTGCTCCAGCTCCACGCTAGACTCAGCAGACAGCCCTATCTTGGCTCCTTTAGCTCCACCGAGAAGCAGCCCTTTAAGTTCTAGTGCCACAAGTGAAACAGCCACTAGAAGAAAGAGGTGTTGAAAACAAATCCCCCTGCCATTTTCATTCTGTGGTCATTAGCAGCGGCAGCGTTGTGCCCACGGAGGCCCAGGGTGCCCCTGGTGACAGCAGAAACCAAAAGAGAATGCTGCAGCCCAAGAAGCACATCCCACACAGCGCTGTCCCTACCCGACACGACACACAGTCCAGCTATCACTTCCAATCAGCGCAGAAGGGACGGAGCAGCCCCAAAGGCAGGGGGTGATTGTGGTGCTGTCCCGAAGGGGAGCGGCTCAAAAGAACATGCGAGTGAGACCACAGGATTGTTAATTAGTGTTGATAGATGCGATCATTTCTAATTAGCTCACTAATCCCTCTCCCCCTCGCTCCTGTCACAGGAGCATGGGAGGAAAAAAAAAAGCCATTCCCTGTTGTAATTCAGGAAGATAAAAACGCAGCCAGCAGAGGACTGGATGCAAGAAGAGGATAGAGCTCAGGAAAGGAGGTTTTTGCACAAGGCTGATCTGTTCTTATCTCTGACTGAACAAAGACTCTGTAGTTGTTATTGCAGCCTTCTGCCAGGAGGTGAGGAGTTCACTAATTTTTACTAGCATTAATAATTATTATTAGGCTATCAGAGGGCTTCCAGCACCTTTGAGGCCTCACTTTTAACAGATGTGCATTACCCTACACACCGCTCCTGCTGCATGTGCATGTTCTCCCTCAGGTTACACTAAACCATAGGGCACCCAGGGAGTTTAAGTGGCCACAGAATACATGCATGAGAAAGTAGCACATGGAGGTGAGCAAGAACTGGGACCCTCTGCAAGGGCTGGGGTCTCAGTTACAGTCTCTGACTTAACTTCAGAGCTATGCTAAGTGAGCTGCTCTTCCCTTCCCTAATACAGGGTCTTTTGGGACTACACAAGGTGAGAAGCTGCTTTCACTAGAGCAGGAGCCAAACTGCACTTGACAAAGCTTCTACTGCTGAAGGTACATAGACCCCTGCTTTCCCACGGGTGCAGAGAGAAGGAGCCAGCCCACCCCTATCCACAGACACTGCTGCCTTATGGGCAGAAAATATTGAGGACTTTTTCTCACAACAGGCTCTCCTCATCAAGGCTAAGGCTTATTAATGCCTAAAGATCATGTTATTCTCTAGCCCAGCAAAACTTCCTAAGAGAAAAGCTAATGGGTTTTAGTTTTCACTGGTACTCCCTTCCCCAAGCAAAAATCCACCTTCAGGACAGGGCACTAATTACTGCAGAAGTGCTCTTACATAGCATCCAGCAGTGGACACTAGACAAACCTCTACCGCAGCATCAAAGGAGATGATTAAGTTACTAGCAATATCTCTTATGATTCCCTCCACCAGCTTGAGTGGTCCCCCGAGTCCCATGCAGACATCATTAGCAGCTCCTGCAATGGCAGGCCAATCAAATTAAGTGGAAAGATTTTTGTCTCCTTTCCAGTGAAAATCATCTAGCTTTATTTCTCCCCCACCCACCAGATACAAAAGCACACGACGTGCTGCTGGTGGTGGTTCAAAAACAAACTGCACGGTCCCCACCTCCATGGAGGTCTGTCCACAGAGGCAGGCTTACGGTCACCACCAATACAGGAATCAGCTTCTCAAGCAGGTGCAAAAGGAGCTTTGTAAGGGCCTACTTTACAACTCTACTGAGAATGCCAACTTTGCAAATACCCCTAAATATGAATCAAAGCTATTCAAGCACAGGGGTTAGCACCTGCTCTCGGCAAATCTACTATTTTTTTCGTTTATACTTTGTTAGACCTATCACAGAAAGCTTCTGTGGCTGATCAACTTATCCAACAGCACCTGATCCAAGAGAACAAAGGCAGCAACGACAGAGCACAAAAAGTCGTCTCAAGAACAAGGTAAAGCAAGAAAACAGATGGTCAAGGATGTTTCAGATCTTATGTAGGATTTGCTGCTCATCTGCCTGAGACAGAACATTAAGGGCCAAATTCACAGAAGGGTCTCAGTGAGGCTTTCACATTTGCATGGCCAAATTTCCACGGAGATGATTTTCAGCAACCTTCAATCTGACACTGTTCTCTGAGGTTGGCACATACTTAACCTTGCTGAATCCATGTTCTGACACACTAACCCATAACTTTGTGCCTCTAATTTGGAACGACTACCTAACCTGCCCTGCTAAACTCAGTAAGCATAAATTTACAGGGTGACTTAAAGTTTCCAGTTTGGCAACACTGGAAATAAGGCAAATGAAAGAAATGCCTTCTTTATCACATGGGTTCATCAGGAATCAGCACCTCATACTCCTGGGTTCACAAGGACACAACCTCTGCAAAGTGGTTTAGCACAGGTGAGAGGTGCGGGATTAACTCGCTGAGGCTGACAGGGAAGTTCAGATACAAATACTCAACCGACAGCCTAACAGGCAGAACATTAATCTCCTGCTCCAGAGCTTACAAACGCATTCGCTTTACTTACAGTTCAATTTAAGCCAAAGGTTTTACTTACAGAATTAAAATTCTGGACTGTCAGGTGCCTGTGAGCAGTGTAACTATCAGGACCTAAGCATGTTGCAGTCAGGCCAACAGGAGCTCACAGAAGACACCTCCCTCTCTGCCTTCTCTTTCCTTAGCTCTTGGTTGCACTCTCCCAAGTGACCACAACAGGATGGAACACATCGAGGAGATGCGACAGGACTGGGGCACAAAGAACCGGAGCAGCTGAGATTTGAGTCAAGGACTATGTGGAAGAAGAGCAAACACTGTGGGCTCCTTTTAATGGGAGGAGATTCCAGAAGCGATTCTGGCACTCAGCTGGTAAGAAGCTTGACAGAGATAACTAAGATAAACTGGTTACAACAATATTGGAAAGTACACCTAAAACATAATAAACCCAAATGAAATAGATTTTTCTTTGACAGGTAGAGTGCACTTTCTATATCCTAAGTTTCTTCAGTGCGGCAGTAAGAATACGAAACAAAATTCAGATGCCTTTTGACAGAAATTACGTAGGATCTGTCCATGTAAACTAATGGGGATAAGGAAACCATTCTCACAAGGCAAGATATAAAGCTGCATGTTTGATTAGAAGCTCATTAAAACACGAGATATAGAAAATAGGCATTTTTTTCCCCCCAAAACACTCAAATGTTCTCTCTCTGCAGCAATACGGCTTACATAACTGTTTAACAATAATGCGGCAAAGCTTACAAATACCAGAAAGTTATTTTAGTGCAAACAAACGCGGAGGAAGAAACAAGCAAGCAGGGAGCTCAGCGGTCACAAATATAAAGCCACACGCATAGAAAGGAGCAGCATGACCTACCCAACCGTCCAGCTGGACGCTAATCTAACAGTGTAGGACTGAACCAGGCATCACTACAGGTATGGGAACAGTAGCAATCAGAGTCATAAAAAGCTAATGTCAGGAGGAACCAGTTCTGCTCTAGTTTGACGTTCTTTGTGACTCAAAGCCAAAGCACTTCAGCTAATATTTCTGCATCCGGCTGCCTAACGTCTGGACCTAGTACTGTTACCGTGTATCACAGAACAGACAGGGAATGCCAGTGTTATAAGGGAATACCAGTGTTATAACTCATTATATAAATTAACTAAACGTCCTCATTTGGAATATGGCTGTTACTTGTGCTCACTGTACCTCAAAAAGAGTAAAAGGTTTGGCAAAAATAACGTGAATGCTGTACAAAATTACCAGCCTCCCTTTAGATGATGAGTCCACGATCACAAGACCAGGGCCCAAGGGGAGTTCCTAGATGGCAGTCTACACAGACTGTGCTGCAGCCCTACTTCGAGCTAAAGTCAAAAGCATAAAACACTACTGAGCCAGTTCAGCTGAGCATGCTGTCATCAAGAGCTTTCATTCATGCTGAAGGACTCCACAACACCAAGAACCTCACAAGCCTGGCTCAGACCTTTTTTTTTAAATTTAAAATAAGGTAACTGCACATTGTTGGCCTGAAAAAAGGTGGAAGGTGGGAGCTTAGCCTCAGCTATCCAAAAATGACAAAGAAACAGTTTGACATCACTGACTCCAGAGACCTCTGTCATACAAAACAAGTCACTGAGAGATATACCTCAGTGCACTTCAGCCATCTGAAGTCTCTGTGTCAGGAAAAGGGTCTACCTGTCAATGCTGGCAGCTCACTGCACTCATCCAGGAGTGCAGATGTGAGCACACCTGCCAGCAGTTACCTGTAATTGGTGCAAAGTAACTCATCTCTTTGTTGTACGACTTAACGGACTTTCAACAGTTCATGGGTTTTTGGCCCTTAGGGTTGGAATTTAAAAATCTCCAAGCTACCTCCGAATTCAGTTATGTGTAACTTAACAAAGATATTGGGTCAGTAACTTAAAAACACTGCTATTTGCTTAAGACTATGCTGAACATGGACTACTTCAAATTCAAGCAATTTCGGCATCAGTACACTCTAAAGCGTTTTGCTATTTTCTTAGGGTATCTCTATCTTACTGCACCAGCACGACGTCACTGGTGTTATCTCCAACTATCACAGCAGGAAGCTCAAAATTAACAAGCCTCCCGATAGCCCGAACAACCAGATTTTGACTAAACGGTACATATTAGAGCAGCTATAAGCAATACAAAATCAGATCACAGAATATTGTGACTATTTAAATGGTAAATTCTGATTTCTCTGAACTTTGAGAAAACAGTTTCAACTTTTTTTTCGCCTGAGCCAAAGAAGTGTACTTTAATTTTTTTCTTTCGGATTTACAGACAGAGAGATGGGACTTTCTCTGGGAAAAAAAAAAGAGACCTCTGATTTATTTGGTTTTGAAATACCACACCATTTTTCACTAGAAACATTTGTTCACTTTTTGTTAGGAACACGCAGAGATACAAGAATAAAAGTAACGCAGCAGCATCTGTGGGTTTGAGAGAAAAAAAGCCCCAACCACACATGACGTCAGATGCACGGCCGCTCAGACTGCTGGTTTGAAAGTTTACTGCAAGATTCTGCCATGTGAGCCGCGGCGGCACCGCAGCCCGGCCCCGTAATTTAAAACACGGCATTCAGGGCCTACTCAGGAACTCGCCGGTGGGATCCCGGCGGTGGGAACTGCCCCCCGAGGAACCTCGGGATGAGCGCGGAGGGTTTCACCCCAACACACTCCGCACCCCACCGGCGGCACGTCGCAGCTCCCGGCCTGCCAGGGGTTCACACGACTCGGCCCAACTCCGGAAAGTTTTCCGGGAAGAGGGAAGCGCGGGAGGAGGCTCGGCGGGGCGGGGGCAGCCCGGGGCACCGCGCGGGACCGCACTCACCGTTCTGCCGGTTCGCTCGCACCCGCAGGAAGGTCTGCAGAGGGGAGACAGGAGCGGAGAAGTGTCAGGGCCCGCAGGCGACGGATGTAAACAACTCGCCCTCCTCCCCGGTAAACACGGCCGTGCGCGGCGCGGCCCCCCCCGCCCCGCGCGCCATTGGGACC